AAATGAATGAGCCTAATGTTAGGCAACTGTCCCCAAGACCACTGTCACTCTGACACCACTTGCAGATTTGGGGGCCCCCTAAGACCACCTTCTGTTGCTATATTTTTCTAGGACTCCCCAGTTCACTGATGGTTACTTTCATGGCTATCGGTCTTTCCAGCTAAGGGGATAAAATCAGCCAGGGGAGGAGGCACAGGGTGGAGCTGGGAGTTCCAAATATGGAGCTGTTGGTGGAGTCAGGCAGCACCAGCTTCTCCCAGCAAGGGGCTGTAGGATGCAGAGCCTTGCCACTGGGAAAGCAGCCCAAGCCTGGCCTGGGTTTGAGCCCCATAGACATGGCTGACCTGAGTCCCCAGTCCCTCCAAGGCTGAGATGATACCTGTGACCCAAAACCTGCTCCCTCAATCATACTGGCAGACTGTCTGGGTGTCTGGGGCACCCGGGTGAACAGAGACACCTGTGTCAGTCAGATTTCCAAAAATGGAGAAGCCACCTCCTGTGAGCCAAGACAAAAACAGAACTTCACTTTGGATCAGGTTAAATTCTCTGAGACACAGGTAGCTAATGTTATGATTTTCCATTGCACAGGTGAGGAGACTAAAGCTTGAAGAATTTAAGCTTTAGTCTCCTCACAAAGTTGGTTGGCAAAGTTGGGTCTTGAAGCCTAGGGATGTGATTCCAGAAGATGAGCTCTTAGCCGTGATTTATTACAAAGGCACCAACTGAAAAAACAAATGCTTAATTCAGACATACATGCACATGGATCAAATAAACCACAGTCAGATACACTTTCAGCATCATCCTGGTGCCGATGGGCCGTCCTTTCACCTCAGGTGTAGTGGAAAGACGCCATTCTTGTTCTTATCCATTTGGAGACTGCTCCTGACCACTTGCATGTAATATAGCAATTGGTAGCCTTTGTGCTGTGCTTACCCAAGTGACTCCAAGCTGCCTGTGTCTGAGTTGCTCTGTGTCAGTCTGTAAGGTCTTTGTGAACTTTATTCATGCCGCTCTAGCTGTTTCTGTCTTTTAATTGCTAATTTCACAATGCCAGGGTAAGACTTTCCTCCATGCAAATACATTGAAGTATGCTTGCTTCAAGACCTTTCTTACTGAAGGATGCCTACAAATGTGTTCAGTTGTCTCTTTTCTGCACTATCTTTGGAGAGTTTTAAGCAGGTCCTACTGGCTGTTCTGCATCATGTGATGATTATGAGGCTCTCCCCGTGCTGCAAAGCTGCCTCCAGGCCTTCTTGCTAGCTTCCCCTGCTGCAGGAACTCCAGCCACACACAACACTCGTGGTTTTGCTTGGACTTTGCAGTAACTGTTTATGTAAGCTATAGTGGCCATATTTTCTCAACCAAAATTTGGGACACATGGCCTAGCCAGGATGACTGTACATATGGGTACACAGGACATAATATTTCTTTCCCAGAAAACCTGAGGCATATGGTCTCCATATGTGCAGAATATATGGCCTCTTGCATGTCTATTTATTGATGCATTTCTAGTCACATGAATATGTAACAATAGTAATGTGATTTTTATAGCCTCTCTGTTAGGGACTTTCCATTCGGAAAAGATATTCATCATTTCTGTTTATGGCAGAATTACTTCTCAATTTAGTGACCAGCTTTACAGTATAAGTTATGTATCTTGGCTTTGATGTTTCCTAGTGAATATATTTTCTTACTTCTATTTAAGGGTCTGTGTTCTGTCTAGGCAGAGAAAAAAGGAGGCTGTGTATAGTCATTTGTTCTGAAAATCTCTGTGGAGGAGGTTGCTTGGTGGCAAAGGATTTCAGAGTAGGTGCGTGAGGAGGAAGCTTTGGAAAATAGATGAAAGTTTATGAAGTTATCTTTCTGTTGGGGTCAACGAACATGGGTGTTTTTAAAGACAAAATAAGTGATGAATGAAAGGATGAGAAGAGGATGGCAAGGAATGGAAAACGCAGTGCTGCAGAGGCTCATTTCCTGCCAGTGTCCACCCTTCGTCCTGCTCCCAGGTGGGACGTGGAGAAAATAGACAGGTGGCCTTCAGCTGCAGCAGGGCAGGCAGCAGTGGGAGGGGGCGGAGCCAGCATGGGTGACAGTTGGCTAGGTGAATGTGTTTGGGGAAAGAGAGAATGAACGCAGTGAACCTTTAGTGATGAAGACTGTAAACAGTACAGTTTACAGTCTTCATCACTAAACAGTACAGACTGTTTACAGTTTCTTTGCAGCAGCCGGAAGAGAAAGGCTCCCCAGCAAGCAGGTGGTGACTGATCTGACAACTGAAATAAGAAGCTCCCCAGAGAAAAATGGTCCCTTCGGGGCAGTTACACTAAATTGGACACAAAGCAGCTCATTAGAGGTGATAAGTGGCCTCCAGTATCTTCCAGGCCTCCAAGTGACCCTGACCTTCAGACAGCCCATGGACGTGTTTGGAGGGCCAAGGTGAGTGATGAAGGTGACAGGCATGTCCTTCCCATTCTGCTTTTGCACCAGGCAATTCCTGGCCACGTGCGAGCTCCAGTGCTCTTGTTTCAGGTAGCAAAGGTGATTACACAGCATCTCCCTCCAGCATGGTCTTGGGTCCCCCCGCCCCTCGCCCACACCCATGGGGCCACAGGGTAACTGTCCCCTCCACGTTTTCCATTCAGCCAAGGCAAACAGTCACAACTCTGCTCTCACACTTGCCAGTCCTCCTACTGTGCTCTCAGGATAAGGAGAAGGAAATCCTCCACATGCCTGCTATCCCGTCACCTACTTGTCCACTTGGCCTCGTGTCCCCAAGTGCCACATACAAATCTCCAGCTTCTAGGACCTGTGCTAACTATGGCCCCTCATAGGAGGCTCTTTCTCTTCCTACCCTAACCCCTTCTTGGATGTTAAGTGTCATCTGCTCAGGTGCCATCTCCCCAGGGGGTTCCCTGAGCCCTGGGCCCCAGGCAGTTACCCTGCCCCAGTCCCTCACGGTACTTGGATGAGAATGACTTACTCTCTAGACCAAGCTTCAGCAGGAGACAATGTCGTGCTCACCTCTACATCTCCACACCTAGCACATACTTGGCACCAGCGTGGTGTGATCCGAGTCCCCGGGGCCCTGTGCACAGCCTGGTGCAGAGCATGTGGTATGTTGGTATGGATTACCTACCTGGTTTTCTAGAGTGCTTGAAACTTCCTGTGGTCAGGTTGACTTCTTTTGGGGCTAAACTCCAGGAATTATGTCCAAATGGAACTGCACCATACCTGACTCCCTGATGCCATGTCTTAAAGTGGCTCTGTGTCCCGTTTCTCATCTCCCTGAGGCTTCGACTCACGAAGTCAACTTTGGCCCAGGGCCTCTCTTTACCTGAAGGAACTCTGGCATTCCCTGAGGGACACTGAGTCCCCTCTATGTTTACTAGCTCCCAGGGTGAGTTGACAGGACTTCTGGGGAGGAGGAGAATTGAAGCTCCAAGCCAGAAAGAGGACAGGCAGGGCAGAGACAGTGGCAGCCCACGGGCTCTGTGCCTGCTGTTCATGTGCATTTGCAGGCTCAGGGTGGGAGCCCCGCAGAGGTTCTGATACATCACTATGGCCGTAGAGCGGACAAGGGTCAGTAAACCGTATCTCTGGAAACGTATAAGGAAGACATTCCTCAGAGGAGCTGATAGCTGAACCTGACAGGATAAAATGAAGTTTTGCAGGAAAGAAGCAGAGGAGAACACCAAAGAAATAAGGAGCAGCACGGGCCGTGTGGGGGCGGGGACTGGGCGAAGGTCCCATGGGGTGGGCCGCACAGTGGGAATGGGGTGAGGGTGGAGGGGCCGGATGGTGAGGCTGGCGCAGTGGGGATGAGGTGAGGCTGGCACAGTGGGGAATGAGGTGAGTCAGCCTCCAGGTCCTGGAGGAGGCCGTGTGCTTCCCACCTGGGGACGTTCTACGTCAGAATGGCTCTGATGTGTGCCCTCCAGGATGACTCTCTTCAAGGTTCCAGACATTTGCTTGCAGTATCTTTATTGACTTAAAGCTTCTCTTAATACCAATACCCCTGGGAGACTTGCTGGGATGAACTCTGAGGAAGATCAGGGGGTGCAGGTTTGGCAGAAGAGGTGCGCTCAGGCTCCAGGGGCCTGCGGTCTGTGTGGCACGTGTGCTTTCTACTTGAATGTCTGCACCCAGGACTGTGAGGCACACGTCCTCCCTGGGAGCAGCACTTGACTTCATGGGACACCTCACCCCAGGAGGCTCTTATTTTTGTCTAATGACTTGAGTGGCTTTCCTTGTTTTTGTTTTTTTTCTGGTCACAAATAATTTGGGTGTATTTTATTTGCATAGAGCCTGCCGGTTTTCTATGGGGGTGCTGAGACAAGTGGTCTATTTGAGTCCTAAAGCAGTAAGGAAGAGAGGAGAGAGCCACTCCAGAAGTTGAAAGCCAGTGAGACTGTGTGGGTTCCCGTCGGCCTGCCCTTCGCCAACATGATGTGCCTCCTGACCAGGACCCCGTGCTTGCCCAGCGCTGGGAGCCCAGCGAGTACAAGCATCCTCCATCCCCCCGCCATTCGTCACTCTTATGAGCAGCTCTCCACCTGATGCCCAAAGAGCCAGACCAACAGAAGCCTAACTCCAGGGCGCTGTGCTTCCAAAGGAGGCAGGGACCCAAGTGTGCCAGGTGGTCTGGGTTCAGTCGCAGGGTTCTTCCTCCAAGAATGAGTGGCCACAGTTGGCGGTGTCTCGTTCCCTGGATGATGATGCCAAAGAAGGCCCCGTACTGTTTTTGCTTTTGACAAAACAATACATCTTTGTGATCCGTTTACAGACGCAGTGTTATTTCAGAACTCAAACAGAGATCTGGGAGCAAACCAAGCAGCCCGTAACCGGCTTACATGGAGTCTGAGTTTAGAACAGAATCAGATGTCCTCTGTCAAGACTCATTTTCAGGGAAAGACACATTTTCCTGCGGTTATGTAATTGTCGGCCCAACGGCATGGAGCAGGAGCATGAGTCTGTTCTGTGACTTGGGAGGAGAATCCCATTCCAGCGCTTCGTACGCTGCAAGTTGGGTTTCACAGAAGGTTCCATTATCGCCTGGCTCGCAAGGCTCTGAAGGAGTCTGCCGGGCGGTGCCTGCCCCGGCTCTCATCATTATTCAGATCAGTTTCCACTTGCTAAACTGGTCTCTGCCTACGGCCCGCTCCTGGAGCCCGGCCCGCTCTCCCCAGAGGATTGAACAATCCTTCTCTCACAGCTTCCTACATGTTGTGCTATTTTGTTCTTTCCCAAATGTCAGCCTCTGCTCACATGCACGTTTCCCTCGGGTGAAGATTTCAGATGTCCCTGTGGCTCTTTCTTCCTGGGATGGGGACAGGGGTGGTCAGGCCAAGGAAGGACATCCCAGGGCTGGAGTCCATGGTCCTGCATGTGGAGGCTGAGCTGGAATGGGGGCTACTTTAGGCTCAGGAAGGCAGGAACCCCTGATCACCCCACATGGGTCGGTTGAGCTGGCAGAGGCAGGGGCAGAGAGAAGCCATGGGAGTAAATTCCCAAGAGAGGGAGACAAAACAGGGACCCCAGGAGCAGAGGTTGGTTGTTCTGCAGCTGGGGAGCCTGTGGCCAGCCTGGCAGGACTCTGCTGTTTGGAGAGGCATCTCCCTTCACTCTGACGTAATGGACTCACCCTAAGGCATTCTCGCACCCTCACAGCACGTAGAAGACTGGGGTGGGCAAGGGGAACATCCTTGCCTCTGGACACACATCAAGGTGCATCCGGGAGAAGGGTCAGGTGTGAGGAGACTGAAGACAGCCCTTCACACTCCTTTCCCACCCTCCCCAGGCATGGAAGCTTTTCTCCCGTTTCTCCATCTGGGCTGAGCACACCTAGGCAGAGTCCAGCCCTCACACCCCCGAGGATCTGGGAGTGCTTCCTGTGCGGCTGCAGAGCGTCAGCCCCTGCGAGCATGTGCGTGGGAGTCCTTCCTGCCTCTTTCCCTCACTCACATCTTCCCAATTCGCCTTCGGTGTGAAAATCCCTGCCTCTCGCTCTGGATCTCAGCTCCCGCAGCATTTTATCATCACCTGAGGAGCGGCAAGGTGCTGTCACAGCCAAGCCTGGCCCCACCAGGTGAACCAGGATCTCTGGGACAATGCCAGGCGGGGGTGTGCAAGCCACTCTCCAGGTGGTTCTAATGGGTGGCCAGAGCAGGTGAACGGAACTGAGGGTCAACTAAGGCTTCAGGATTCAAAGAATCAAAGGATTCAAAGTAAGGATCGGGACTTTTGTAAATATAGACAACCAAACAGATGAGTCGCACACTCAGCTCACCCGGAGGAGGCTGGGCATCCCCAGGGCACGTGGCATTGCGACAGAGAGAGGAGGTGGGGAGGGAGCATTGGGTGCAGAGACAAGGAGTGGTGAGTCAGCGTGTGTTTGGGGACTGGCAAGGACAGTGAGATGAGAGGGGTGGCAGGGTGAGAAGACAGCCGTGCAGGGGGGATGGGGCCAGGCTGCACAGAGCTGTGAAGGCCAAGCCCAGTGTCTGTCCTTAGACACAGGGACCAGGGGAGACTGCAGCTGGTTGGTGATGTGGTCGCTTCGCTTACTAAAATAACACCCTAGTACCATGTGCAGAATATCCCGGAGTGAGAGAGACTGAAAGAACAGGTGGGGCCACCGTGGGCTACCCATGTTGTGAGGAGGGCTTGGGCCAGAGCAAGGGAGGAGAGAGGACAGAGCGGACTCGCTCTGAGGGGCCATCTGCAGGTCTCTGTGAATGACTGGGGGCCAGGGTGAAGATGACGATCGCTATGGGCTGGGCATGAGATGGGGTGTGCTCCTGGCAGAGGCTGGGCATGCAGCAGGAGGCCCTTTTCTTCCCCTTTCTTCTTTCAGGAAAGAAATCATACCCAGAATTGGATCTGCTGGTCATGCAGTACCATCCGGGAACCTTGGAGCATTTGTGGTTGACAGCTTACGTGTGGGTCTGGAATGCAGGTGACAGGAGAGGACACACACAGACTTTGGAGCCACTGGCATTTAGGTGGGATGGAGACCCGTGATAGGGCAAGGTCATCCAGTGGGAAAGAGGTCAGCTAGAAGGAGCCTCACAGGCCAGGACTCTGGACATCAGCACTGTGGGAGGAGCTGAGAGGAGGACCATTCCCAGAGGAGCCCAAGGAGGGACACACCAGAGAAGGAGGAGGAAGGGGAGGAAGAGGAGTAAGGGGTACAGCTTCCTATCCCAGACTGCTCTGAGCTCAGGCCCCGCTCCATCCTGCCTGCAGCACATGCCACCTGGGATCATGCTGGTGGCTCCGACTTCAGGCAGCCACACCAAGTTCTCCATCTCCCCTCCTTCCCAGGTGCTGCCTCTGTCCTCCTCTTCTTGGTCCTCTTGCCAGACATCTGGAGTCCCATACATCCCCAGATCTCCTGCCACCACAACTCACCCCAACAGTGAGTCCATAACTGTCCACTCTCGCCCCGGCTGGTCCACCATACACAGCACCTACAGGGCAGTTTAGAAAGATGCAGAACTGACAGTGTGTCTCTCTGCCTCCAGGTTGTCAACGGCCTCTTCTAACCCTGAGTCTAGTTCAATGTCCTTCTGTGGGGGTCGGGGTCCCGCCCAGTCACTCTTGTCCTGCTCTTCTCCAAGGCTTCCCTTCTCATTCACCTGCTCAGATGGAACACACCCAGCTCTTCCAGTTCCTCAAATGTGCCAAGCCCCTTCCTGGGCCCTGGCCCTGGCCCTTGGCCCCCTTGGCATGGCCACCTTCCTTATCCCAGCAAACTGCTGCATATTCCTCAACTCCCAGGAGAAACATTATCAGTTCAGGGAGTTTCATTCTTAACCCTCAGGTGAGAGGCACCCATACGATGAACTTCCAAATGCTTTCTTCAGAGCACTTACCTGGTTGTATGGATATAAAGCATTTGTGCATAATTACTCGTTCAATGGCTGTTCCCCACTAGACTGTTTATTGAGTGAAGGAATCATATTTATTTACCCCTTGGTAGAGCACAGTCCTTGAATATGACTAAAAATATTTGCGTCAAAAATTAAATTAAAAACAATGCTCACTAACTGTGTATTAGAAACACGAAAAAATGCAACCAGCTAAAAAATCCCTACTGGTAAATCTAGTCTGATAATGGCTGAAAAATAAGCAATTGGATCAGCCAATCCTGAGGTCACTGTGACTTCTTTATCCACAGCAGTTTTAAAAAGTGATGGAAGTAGATTTCCTGGGGTTGAACTCTGAGTTACTGAGAGTTCAAAATGGAGATGGAACACTCCACTTCTCCCTCTCTCAAGCGCCCTTCCCTGTTCCCTTTCTACTTTTGGTGACCTGTAATTTCTTCACGATAGCAGCAAGGACAACAACTGTTTTATTATTCACCTCTCAGCCTCAAAATCTCGCCCAGCTAAGGCTCCTCTCGCTGCTGCCCAGCGACTGTAGTGACTCCTGATGTCCTTTTCACTCTGATGTCTTTTCCTCCAACTGATGGATTGGGATGTGAAACGCTTCTCATCGCTCCAGATCTGTTCTCAAAAGTCTCCTGTAGCAGCTCACTCCTGGCATTTAGGACCAGGTGTGGAGAGCAGTGACAGAGAACGGAAGAGCAGTGTCTGAGTCTGGGGTCTCTGATGACCTCATGGCTGTGCCTGGGAATGTCCCCGTGCAAGGGTTCAGGATGCCTAGCTGCGGTGGCAATGCCCTGCATGAGGAGACTCTGTGCAAGAGTCTTTTCAGACCTTGATCTCAGGCACACAGCTCCTGGGAATAGAGGACCTCTCTTGCTAGACAACCACAATGTTTCACCATCTATGCTACTCCTGAACCTAGTGGTCTAAAGTAACAATGGACTTTCTTGAGCGTTACACAACTCTCCTAACATTGCACATTGCAACTGTAGAATGTAACTAAGGAAAAGACTGCATAATATTGCTAACCCTTTAACTTTCCTGGATACAAAGAATAATGTTTGCATAGTCTTTAACCCAATAGTGAGACATATATAAGAAAGATTGCTGGTGTAATTCTTTAGATCTGCTTCTTTAACCAAGAACAGCACTCTACCTGATTCCAGCTAATTAAATAATTTTTGAAGATAAATTCTTCAAAATCTGCTTCTGTGAGTCTTTATTTTCTAATCCCCCAGTGCCCCTCAATGGAACCCGCAAGATTGGCCATTCTGATGGTGGTGACCATGCATCCTGTGGTCCTCAACTTTCCTTCCAAATGCAGCCGGGGTCTCCCCAGTGTGCCTCCTGCTATCGGCTCTGAGTTTGGCTCACTCAGCAAAGCCTGTCAAGCTTTGGCCCACTCTCTTCCTCTATGACCTCTTTAACCCTGACTTTTCCTTGAAGGTCCAGATCAAGTCCTACTGTCTATAAGAAGTCTCCAGAGACCAAGGTGGCCTGCAGCCTGCAGGGTCTGAGCCTAGGTGCCCTCTGGTCACTGTCATTTTCCCTGCACAAATTCGCTTCCATATTCTAGATGCAGGGCACTGGGTCTTCTCTGACGACTGGAGAAACACATTCTTTCCCCATGTGCCTTCTGGGGCTTCGCCTCTGCACCAACGGTGAAAAGATCCCCATTGTTCAAATAAGAAGACTTTAAAATCTGCTGCAAATGAAGAAGGATGCCTGTCAAACACAGCTTCCACACCGTAACCCACTGGAGATGGTATCTCTGATAAGTTGGTTTGAAGGTAGAAGTCCAAATGGTTAACTTGCTGTAAATTGTTATTATCTTAACCTTTTAAGTCTTCAGAACAGGAAGCATGAGATAGAAATTCTCTAGTCTGGGGTTTCTCAGCCTATTTGCTGAGGACTCTGTGGGCCAGACAGTTCTGATGGGGGGCTGTCCTGGGCTCTGCAGGAGTGTGGGCAATCTCCCAGGCCTCTGCTCACTCCACATCAGTTTCACCTGGTAACAACCTAAATGTCTCCAGACATTGCCAAATGGTTCCTGGAAAGCAGAACGGTCCCCAGATGACAGCTGTTCATTTAGTCCAAAGTGTTAGAGTGTGACAACACTTTTGAAGGTGTTGGATTAATATCCTACATTATCCCCAAGGCAGGACAATGGGTTCAGTCACCATGTTCACACAGAAACTGGACAAGCCTCTGCACTGTGGACCCTGGAGCTCTGGGTTTGGACTCATACTTTGGGCGTCGTGAACATGACAGAGCGGCAGCCTGGTGGCAGCCTTGCACAATCCCCATCTCCCCATTTAAACAGTGACTCTTGTACTCAGGGGCACCCTGGGAGTGGAGTTGCCACACACACCATTGTCACCATAGCATGGCCCGCCACCTCTGGAAGGAGGGCCTCGGCTCCCTCTGCAAAGGCTGCAGACTTGCCTGGGCACTTTGAGGTTGGGCTCTGCCGGTCCTGGACCAGAATGTCCAGGGGGCATTAGAGGAACGTGTCTGTCCCTCAGGGACTTCTGTTTGGATGTGCTTGTTGGGGTCGGGCCACCTGCACTGCACATGTTTCCAGGGCCATCTGACATCCTGACATTTGCCTGATTTATTATGCAGGGACAAATGAGTGTGAGGTGGAGAGGGGGGTGCTCAGGTTTAATTAAGTGTGCATCTGTCTTGGGCATGTGCCCAGCTGCTCTGTGATGGGTGAATCCCAAAATCATCACTAAAAGACCACAGGGGAGCACCGACGAGCTGTGTGATAGTCACCGTGCAGCGGGTCCTGACTCTGGGCTTCCTAGGCGGGTTCATGCTTACTCCAAATGCCAACCAAATCTGCACGAGCAAGGCAGAGTGGAGCAAATGGGGGTCCATGTGGGGACCTCCAAGGACAACCAGTGTCTATGGTCCCCAGAGAGCGAGGCAGACCCAGCCCTGACGTCACCAACAGTGACTATGGAGACTGCTCAACCTCTGTGAATCTTCCCCCAATAATAAAACACCTCTTTCCCTTGTGAAAGGAGACTTGTGGATGACAAAGTGCCCCTTGGATAGAGGTTGCTGTTACCCCATAAACAGATCAAGGAAGAGGAATCAAATTGTTCTTCATGGAGACAACTTCTAATGGGACCAGGAGTGAGCCCTTCACCAGCTGGAGAAGGGCCTCCCTGTGTCCTGAATACAGAGTTAGACATGGGCACTGGAGTTGCCCAGGTGGAAGGGACTGGGGCTGAAAAGCCTTGGTAAAGTCAAAAAATGGACACGGTCCCGTGTTTCCCCGAGGCCCACGGACAGGCCAGACCTGTGGGAACTGCGCAGTCATCAGGTCTGGGGGCTGGAGCGGAGCGAGCAGGGGCTCGTGGTGGAGTGGTGAGAGCTCCTCTCGCTCAGTGAGCACATGGTTTCTGAGCAGCCTCAGCCGAGAGGCTACACTGTCAGCAAGATGAGCAGGACGAGGCTGGCAGGACAGTGGGGATGACCTGGGGCCTCCTGGGCACCTCCATAAATGTCTGCCACTGTGTCTAGCCCCAGAAAATCAGAAAGTGCGCTCCTGAGCTCTCCACCCGTGGACAGAATGCCCTCGATGGTCCACCTGGAGGGGGCAAGGTTGAGTTCGCCTTACGTGCTGGAGGTTTCCGTCTGTGTTCGGTGGCCTGTTGCTCTGGGCCATGATGGCACAGGGCACATGGAGTGGGTGGGGGAGGAGGCCCTTTTACCTCCCAGTGGACCTCAGTGCCCACCTGGAAAATAGGGGTCAGTGTTTCCATTTCACAAGTGAGAAATTAAGACTTAGGGAGGTCAAGTAACTAGGAGTGGCTGCCCCGGAAGCCCCTTCCTCTTGCTGAGATTGTGTGACAAAGTGATCTTCCTATGGGACCTCCTGAGGACCGGGAAGGTTTTACACGCCAGTGACAGCAGGAAAAAACGTCTTAAAGCTGAATATATCTGAAAACAAACCAACCAAGGCCAGCATCCTCTCCGGTTCCTCACAGGAGAAGGAAGAGTGTCCACGTTTTGACTGCAAAGGGCTCTGCCGGCTCTCCTGGGGCTGGCTGCCTTTCCACCACCGAGATGCGTGCTGGACAGACGGCTTGTAGGAAGGAAAGGTTGGTTCTGCTCCCACTTTGAGAGCTTTCAGCCCGTGTTGCTCGGACCCAGAGCTGAGGCCTGTGGCAGCGCAGCACAGGGTGTGGGAGCACGAGGCTGAGCAAGGGAAGCGGGCGCACCTTCCTCCCACCAGGACGCCCCCCTCCAGGTCACCACGCTCAACAGTGTCACATGCTGCGGTGATGGAGCCAATCGTGGGCAGAGGGTGGGAGGCCGTGGAGCAGCTCAGAGGCAGGAGACTCTGATGGAGTCACCGGGAGTCAGAGGAGCCAGGCAAGACAGGCAAGAGTTCCCAGAGGGAGCAGGAGATGCAGCCCCTCCTCGTCTGCCTGTGCCGTCTCCTGTGCCGTCTCCTGTGCTTTCTGATTTCTCCACCTTCTCCAGTAAATCCCATCACCTGACAGGAACACTTGTCTGCAGACTGAGGGAACCTGTCTGCATCCACGGGTTCGTGCACACGTGGCGGCGCTTGGTGCCTGCTCCTCAGCCTCCTCTGTCTATGCTCGCCCCCCACCCAGCTGGTGGCAGAGAGGACACTGCCATGCTACTTACCTTGCACTTGCCCCTGACTCAGGCCACCTCTTGGCAACTTCTCTTTACTCCCATGAATGACTTACACACTCATTTTCTGCACAATACAATCCGAATGAGGAGGTATAAAAACACGTCACAAATTTAGGTTGTAGAGAGTGCCAAACTTGTTAATAAAATGTAACCAACAAAAGTCTTTCCAGGGTTGAATGAGTAAATTTGGATAACTGCCTTCAGTTATTTATGGACCAGAAAGGGTCTATATATGTAAATTTGAATAACAGATTTAGTCATTTGTTCAAAATAACTGATAAATCCAATAGTACTTTATCCCCCAAATGCTAATGAAAACAGTTTCTTGCTCCTACTTA